TTCCCCAGTTTTCCTGGCTGGATCTGGGGGCGTGGCCTGGGTGGCTCCTTTTACCTGGATCCCTGGCTACTGTTCTGCTCTGTCGTCACCCTGCCTTCTCTTTTACCTGCTTTCCTGGCTGGTGGGGATGGGGCCGGGGTCACTCCCCTTACCGGGATGCCTGGCTGCTGCTCTGCTCTTTCGTCTCCCTAGCTTCTATTTCCCCAGATTTCCTGGCTGATGGGGGTGTGGCCTGGGTTGCTCCCCTTATCTGGATCCCTGGCTGCTGCTCTGCTCTCTCATCCCCTCTGGCTTCTCTTTCTCCTGCTTTCCTGGCTGGTGGGGTGATCCCTTGGTTGCTCCCCTTACCTGGATGCCTGACTGCTGCTCTGCTCTGTCATCCCCCTGGCTTCTAGTTCCCCAGCTTTCCTGGCCAGGGGTGGGAGGTGAGGGGGACCTGGATCGCTCCTCTTACCTGGATCCCTGGCTGCTGCTCTGCTGTCATCCCCTCTGGCTTCTCTTTGCCCTGCTTTCCTGGCTGGTGACGGTGTGGCCTGGGTTTTTCTCCCTACCTAGATGCCTGGCTGCTGCTCTGCTGTAGTCCCCCTGGCTTCTATTTGCCCTGCTTTCCTAGCTGGTGGGGGTGTGGCCTGGGTTGCTCCCCCTACCTGGATCCTTGGCTGCTGTTCTGCTCTGTCATCCCTTCTGAGTTATCTTTCTCTCCCTTCCTGGCTGGTGGGGATGGGGACTGGGTTGTTCCCATTACCTGGATGCCTGACTGCTGCTCTGCTCTGTAGTAACCTCGGTTTCTACTATGCCAGCTTTCCTGGCTGGAGGGGGGACTGGGTCGCTCCTCTTACCTGTATCTGTGGCTACTACTCTGATCTGTCATCCCCTCTGACTTCTCTTTTTCTCCCACTTTCCTGGCTGGTGTGGGTGAGCCCTGAGTCACTCCCCTTACCTGGATGCCTGACTTCTGTTCTGCTCTGTTGTCCCCCTGGCTTCTACTTCCCCAGCTTTCCTCCTGGTGGAAGGGGGTGGGGGGAGCCTGGGTCACTCCTCTTACCTGGATCTATGGCTGCTGCTCTGCTCTGTCTTCCCCTCTGGCTTCTCTTTTCCCTGCTTTCCTTGCTGGTGGGGGTGGGGCCTGGGTCACTTCCCTTACCTGGATGTCTAGCTGCTGCTCTGCTATAGTCCCCCTGGCTTCTACTTCCCCAGCTTTCCTGGCTGGGGGTCGGGTGGGGGGCCTGGGTCACTCCTCTTACCTGGATCCTTGCCTGCTGCTCTGCTCTGTCATTCCTTCTGGCTTCTCTTTTTCCTGCTTTCCTGGCTGGTGGGGGTGGACCCTGGGTTGCTACCCTTACCTGGATGCCTGACTGCTGCTCTGCTCTGTCTTCTCCCTGACTTCTTCTTCCCCTACTTTCCTGGCTGAGGGTGGGGATTTGGGCCTCGGTTCCTCTTACCTGGATCCCTGGCTGCTGCTCTGCTCTGTCATCCCTTCTGGCTTCTCTTTTCCCTGCTTCCCTGGCTGGTGGAGGTGAACCCTGGGTCACTCCCCTTACCTGGATGCCTAACTGCTGCTCTGCTGTGTTGTCCCCCTGGCTTCTACTTCGCCAGCTTTCCTGGGTGGGGGGTATGCGGGCCCTGGGTCACTCCTCTTACCTGGATCCCTAGCTGCTTCTCTGCTGTGTTGTCCCCCCCACCACCTGCTTCTCTTTTCCCTGCTTTCTTGGTTGGTGGGAGTGGAGCCTGCATCACTCCCCTACCTGGATGCCTGGCTGCTGTTCTGTTGGAGTCTGTCTGGCTTCTATTCCCCCAGCTTTCCTGGCTGATGGGGGTGTGGCCTGGGTTTCTCCCCTTACCTGGATCTCTGGCTGCTGCTCTGCTCTGTTGTCCCCTCTGTCTTCTCTTTCTCCTGCTTTCCTGGCTGGTGGGGGTGGGGCCTGGGTTGCTCCCCTTACCTGGATGCCTGGCTGCTGCTCTGCTCTGTCATCCCCTATGTCACTCTTGCACATTTGAAAATATCTAAAATATCTTGGATATTTCAAATGTGCAAGGGTGACACAAATTTTAGTGGTACATGAGCAAAAAATATTAAAAATCATTGTATATATCATCTCCCTCTAGAGCAGTGCGGGCCAGGTTTTATATGAGAAGGCAAAAATAAAATATTACTTAACATCTATATAAACTGACTTTTCTTTTTCCCCCCCTCAGGATTAACTCCACAATAAATGAAAGGAATATTAACTCATTGGAAAATATAATGCTAGTGTGAAGTAAAAATAAACTGTTCCCCAGAACCTAAGAGGGTGATTTTTATCATAGTCCATACATAACTTTATGGGGTTGTCCAATCCAGGTCAGACTACCGTCACCAAGTATTTACAAAATGCACACTACCAGAGGTCTCTGACTTTCAATGTACTTGAGTAACCACAAACTACAATTATGACCACCTGCTTTTTTTCTGTGTGTACTTCTTATCACTCAAAATAGTACCATTCCAATGTTTTCCAATCCAAACATCTGTATTATCTTAAATTTAGTGAATTTCACATTTTAATTAAATTAAAATATGAATGGGTTCCCACAAATCTAACTGATGAGTGTTTTAAAGTTATTTTCAGAAAAAAAACCCAGAGATTTAAACTTCCATTTGTTTCCAATACCACAATTTTCTAAAAATTCTTCCTTTAAGGTCAGCTCTAGGAAAATTAAAGCCTATGGGTCAGAGAAAATACAGAATATTCCTTTGATTCAATTTGAAGATTCCTCAAATGTCAGCATGAGATATGACAATAACATACCCAATTAGAGGGACTTCTATTGTTTTATTTCCTGCTGAAATAAGTAGTTTGTCAAAAATATCTTCATTTGCATAAGGATGGTACTCCACCACAGCTGTCATCTGCAGCCCCGATGCTAATTCTTTATCCAGATTGTTCAAAACCAATTTGAACTTTGAGAGAAAAAAGAAATAAAAAACAAACATCAAATTGTACATTTTAACTCCTTTTAGTTAGGGATGCATATTATTATAAGAGACATCTCAAAACATAGGCCTTATTTCTGCCCTAACGGCAGACATTTAATAACTATATTTATAGTTATCAAATTCTGTATCCTTAAGATATACTTTCAATAGTACATTAATTGAAACCTAAAACTCATTTAGAATAAAACATGTAAATGCCCACAGGATACTTTGAAAATATGAGATGCTTACAGAACTGTCATGGTCCCCATTCTAAGAAGCTTAATTATTAGATACAATACAAAGGAATAGAAACATAATAAAATATTGCTCAAGTGTACATATATACATACTTACATACATACATGTGTATAGTATTTTGTATACCTTCTCCATAGGAACAAAGGCTTCATATCTTCTAGGAAATATAACAGAGAAATAGACCAAAGAGGGAAAATTATGTACATTCCAATAAAACTTTTGCTTGACTCCAAAAGAAATATGAAAGAGGAAACAAAAAGAGAAAGGGTATCTATTGAACATTTGTGACGTGTCAAGTGTTCCAAATCTGTCATCTCACTTAACACACTTCTACAAGTCTGTGAGGCAGATATTAGGGCTCCCAGCATATAGATGAAGAAGGACACAGGACTATAGAGTGTAATTAATGACAATAGGCACTCAGGAGGAAGGATTCAAAATACAGATGTATTTTACTCTAAAACTTAAGCTCTTTTCCCCCAGTTGAAGAGTCCTGCATCTCAAAAATGTATAATCTTTCAAATGAAGCAATCTATACACCAATTGAAAACTAGTATAAACCATGCCCTAATCAAATGCCATATATGTGATTCAGACATACAGTTCACAAAAATTCATGAAAAGACATGATTGCTGTGGGCTAGGAAGGGATGGACTTGGTCTAGACTTAGAAGAGGAATGTAAAAGGTGGGAAAAAATCAGGGAAGCGGAACCTTATGGTGAGAAGGAGAGCTCAGACATAGGGAGAAATAAGGATAAACAAGCTATTCTCTCAGCAGGGAGTTAATAATTCAACCCTGCTAGACAAAGGGTCCTCAATCAGTAACAATGGCAGCCCTGATGTGATGTAAGAGGATTAATCACATCACAGTCCTGACTGGATGTAAGAGGAGTTCCCCTGGGGTGTGGCTTGGGACATCTTTTATCTTACAAGAGATAAATGGAGAAAGAAGGGAGAGAGGGACCTGCTATCACCAAGAAAGAAGATCTGGGAGCAGAGGGCTTCATTTGGACTCAGGGCCCCTGTCCTGGGAACCTCCTGGACCCAATGGAAGATTGATGCCAAGACACATGGAGATCTCTAAGGGACGTTGGGCTCACAGATACTGAAAAGAGACAAGAACCTTCCTCCTAAACTGTGAGCCAACACAGAGAGAAAGCCTTCCCCTAGCTTGTGCCCTGAATTAGGACTTCTAGTTTCCTAAACTGTGAGAGAATAAATTTCCGTTTGTTAAAGCCATCCACTTGTGGTATTTCTGTTATAGTACCAAAAACCAAAATCAAACTCACTGCTGTCGAGTCGGATCCAACTCATAGCACTAGATAACTAAGACAAATCCCTTTAAAAATCAATTATATATCATGTATTTATCACAAATTCAAATCACTTTATCATTTTATCAAAAGTCTCCCTGGAAACAGATCAGCATAGTAAACTAATATCCATCCAGTCGCATCCATACTCTAAAATAACAGTGAGACACTAGTCCTCAGCTGGTTCCGCAACAGTTTGGCAGCTACCAAGAAGGCAGGTATGGACACAGAAAGGGGATCCTTGGTCCCTCAGGACATAGAGACTTCGAAAAAACATGTGCAGCGGCGGGTCACCCCCTCAGAACTGAAGTTTTTGGACACATCAGCAGGGAAGGTGTGATCAGAGAAGTTGATCCTTACGGGGACAAGGAGAGCTCAGACACAAGCATAAATAAGGATAAGCAAACTATTTTCTCAGCAGGAAGTTAATAATTCAGCCTGCTAGGCAAAGGTCCTCAGTCAGTAACAATGGCAGCCCTGATGTAATGTAAGGGGATTAATCACATCACAGTCCTGACTGGATGTAAGAGGAGTTCCCCTGGGGTGTGAAAGGTTCTTGACTTTTAAATCAGAAGATTGGAACAAACTCTCAGAATATTAATTTTGCTGATGGCTAGACCTGTGCAAAGACTTCCCCTCTAGTCTCTAAGTTTTATGAGAGCAGGGCTGTATCCTCACAACACCGCTTGTTAAATATATTAAGTGCTCAATAAGTTAATGTAGTGAAGTAACACACAATTTCACTAATTCTACAGTATCTGGAGTAATCAGGCATTTTATTATTCAACAGGTAGTTATTACAGAATGTTGGTTAAAGATCTCGTGATTAAGATAACTACAGTATCATGAACTCAAGATGTAAAAATATGGGTGACTTAAGAGCAGTCATGGAGTCCTCTCCCCTTCCCAATCCTTGGATGAAGAAATGGGTAGGTTCTAGAACAGCTCCCCTCTCCCCCCCCCACTTCCTCTGCCCTCCCAATCTACCACCCTGAGGCAAAAAGAAGAAAAAAAATAATCAAAACCAAACCCAAAAGTCAGCACTCCCTAGGAAATTCAATCCTGCCCCCTCCTTCCTAGGGCAACAAAGAGGCTCCCAGGTGAGAAGGCTTCCTCAGAACCCCTGCTCCTACTCTGCCCCAGATCCTACTCTGGCACCCCTTGGTGTGTCTGTCACCTGTGGCTTAGAAGGCTCCTGAAACCGGATCTTCTGGTTCCAGCGACCTAGGTTATGTAGAGTAATAGGGAGGCGGTACACCTTCCCCGCTGCCGTGTCCAAAAACTTCAGCTCCGACGGAGTCACCCGTAGCTGCACTTGTTTCTTGTCAGTGTCCCAGGAGAACACGGATCCCCTTTCCGCATCCATACCTGCCCTCTTGGTAGCCGCCAAACTGCTGCGGAACCAGCTGAGGACAAATGTATGCGGTCGTCGCTAAGCAACCATTGGACGCCGCGCTTGCCTCGAATTCTGCCACGTCAGTACCGCGTTAGCTACCCTAATAGAGGCTGCAGTTTGCTGGCGAGAACTCCAGAGACAGCTGTAACCAGAGTAGATGGAAAGCCTTTAGACAGCCCAAATCCTAGACGCATCTATCTTTGCCATAGCCTGGCAGGATTTTAAGATGACACTGTTGTAGTGGGCATTTTCTTGGACTTCTCCTGAGGCCAAGCTTAAAAACAGGGGAAGTGGTGTAGAGACGGGGGCTATTAAAGCAGCAGGAGGTAAGGGAAATGCAGGAATTTAAGAGAAACACAGTCAGCCCTCCCTTTGACGTTCCTGCTCAGTGGTGTTTAGGTCAGTGCTTCTCCAGATGTAATAGGAATCACCTGCGTATTTTGTTAACATGCAAATTGTTTCAGTAGACCTGAGACAGAGCCTCAGAAGCCTCATTTCTAGCAAGCTGCCAGGTGATTCTGATGCTGCTGGGACAGAGACCACACTTTTTTGTTTTGTTTTGTTTTGTTTAATAATCCATCTGCTTTATTTAACACTTACATAATATATTTTGTTTTTCTTTTCTTTATTTTTTTTAAAATTGTGATTTGGGTGAAATTTAAAGAGCAAATTCACTTGCCATACAGCAGTTCACATATACTTTGTCTTATGACATTGACCACAATTCACCCCAATGCAACAGCTCCCCTCCCACTTCCTTCAGTCACCTCTTTCCTGTGTCCATGCCTCCATGCAACCCCGCCCCCCTGAGCTGTCTCCCTGTGCATAAACAGCCCTTCTTTCTCCCATGATTGTTCTCTCCAAGGAGTGTATTTACCTCAGGTAAATGTTCAACTCCTATGCCTGTCTTTTGCTTGGCTGGAA